TGGCAATAGGCACTGGCTACATCAATGGGAGAGAACACAGTAGCGCCTCTGAGCACAGAAAGAAGCTCATCCATGTGTGGCAAGGGAAAAGCATGCAGAATAACCACTTTATTGGGCTCACGCAGATCAACACATGTGAATTTTACCAGACTTGCGCTAAGTGACTACAGACACCCAAGCAGAAGCATCTATTCGTTCTATGACATCAGCAGCAAGTAGGCGATCAAGTTCTTCGGACACAACATCTCTAATGGACAGAGGAAAGCCACGCAGTTTCTTCCTAATAGGTCTCCTGTTTCCTGATCCACACTGATCTACAGAGAATTAAAGAACCTACTTCAGTGGTACTTAAAAAACTGTAAAGACTCTTGAGATCCAGGGAAGAAAAAAAATCATACTGATTTAAAAAATTTTGATTTGACAGGAAGACGTGGTTGGCAAGGTCACATCTACCAACATGTAACATCATCTTAAAGCTATAACTGTCCTCTTTAAGAAACAACAGGAAATTACAGAGTGGCATGTGCAGTATGAGAGATAATGTCCTCTACAGGGGACAGAGATGAATTGCTGGACCTCAGGAGGATAAAACATAATAATTATTAAAGGCTGAACCAAAGGCCTGAGGTCAGACCCTCTGTATGCAGCACACAGTGTTTCTGCAGAGTTTCACCCTCACATCCTGTATGATGACATTTCTGATTCTTAGATAAAGTGTCTGTCTGATAAAAACTTCTGCATGATACTAATGATTTAGCTGCTTTATGCTCATATGTGAGAGAAATACAAGTGAGTTAAACAGCTCATTAATAAAACTCACTTGATTTGGTTTGTTTGTGTAACTATGTCTCTCTCGCTCTGCCTACTTAGGTGGGCACTGATACCTAATAAATCACTACTAGTCAAGTCTACTTACTCTGTCCAAGATTCGTACAGGAGGACTGCGGTAGTGAATACTGATTATTGTATTACGCCAACCCACAATAACACAAACACCAATCAGGATTTATAAAAGAGAATCTTGTATTGTTGATTATGGCTTCAGGCCAATATATGTATGCATATGTGTACATTACTCACGGTGTATTGGGTACTGTCAAAAAAAAAAATAAAAAAATAAATAAAATCCCTTAACAGTTCGAAGGTACAGTAATATGAATTCCAATTCATATCACAGTTCACTTCAGACCATATAAAACAAGTAGAGTATGATATGAGATATCAATGTAAACCATTTATAGGGTAAACTCAATATGGCATGGAATATCAATATAAATTGTTAACCAGATAAAACACAGTATGGCATGGAATATCAATATAAATTGTTAACAACTAGAACACGTTGGAACCAATAACCCCTAAAGGAGAGTATATCAGTCTTTAAGGTTCTGAGATCTCAGGAAAAAAAAATGTGTGTGGGAAAAGATTTAAGTCAAAAAACCATTATCGGGAAAATGTTCCGCGTTCTGATTAAAAAAAAGTGCATTTCACAGTATTCCAATCCTACCACTCCCTCGTTGGGAATCTATCAGTCCATGGAAGTCAGAGGATAGCGTAGCAGGTGCAGTGGAATCCACGATGATGCACAGGCCTCGAGAAGGGGGGGACCAGCCAGGATATCTTCAAATAAAACACAGAATTTCCAAAGAAATCTGGAGAAAAACCTCGTAGTGTCCATGTATGGCTGTGTAGTGACGTTCGGTGTGTAATCTGAAGTTAACATCTCCTCGCTTTTTTCGGGGTGAGTCGAGCATGCGAAAAAAAGGAAAACAAAAAAAAATCTCTTCTCTCTCGGGAAAGTACTTAGGGAGTGTCTGCAAATATCCCACCACTACTAATGCATTTAGGGAGTATCCACTATGGGTGAATGAACGAAAATCAAAGTGTGAGTATAAGAGAATAAGAATCAATTTGGGATGCAGTAATTCCATAGGGGTTACACATGCATCTTCNCAATAAAGTGTATATAATGATTTCTTATTCAGAACATACTTTGTTTTATAGAGAATAGTAATGATCTTTGACATTTTTTTTTTTAACATGATTTATATGAAATTTCCAGCTTAACTTATCATCAATTATCACTCCAAGAAATTTATTTTCATACACTCTTTTGATTTCAATTCCATCAACCCTGATTTCAGGTACGTTTTTCATTTGTCTAGTGCCAAAAATAATACATTGTGTTTTGTTTAAATTTAGCGTTAACTTATTTATATCAAACCAGTTAATATATGTTAATGTCCCTCTGAACGCATATACTGTACCTGCCCCCTCAGTACTGCTGACTGTTGGCTTTGAATGTGACCATGACTGTGTCTGTGTGCAGTTTGCAGGCTTCCTCTGTTCACATGGCATTTCTCCAGCTTCCAGTGCCCTGCAATGGACTGATGTGCATCTTCTTTATTCATACTGAAATATTTTATTCATTAAAGCAAGAGTCAATGCCTTGATAGTTTATTTTATGCTGTTTACAGGAATAATAATGGAATGGCTTGCTGAAGTATTTAGTGCTAAACATTCAGCCCTGTGGTTTTGTCACTTCCTGTTTAAAGTGTCCACTCCCCTTTCACTCTGCCTGCTGTGTGTGAGAATAGAAACGACGGAGACAGTGAAGGTACAGAGGATGAGGAAGTGAGGGTCAGTCTCCACAGATCTGGGCTCAGTGACACACACACGTATGGATCCTCTGATGCTCCTGTTACTTCTCATTGCTGGGCGCACAGGTGAGTGTCTCTCATTACAGTGGTACTGAGTTGAGATCTCTCTCCTGCTCCTCCACACACTGTCAGGTACAGTTTGGAGATCATGATGGAGATCTGCTGCTACATCAGAAGAAATTGCTATGGCTAGATTCTGAAAACATTAACAGAGGCTGCATTGAGTATTATACTCTTTGAAATTGTCGATACTCTTTGGATTTTCAGAGGTTTTTATATCACCAATATAATGTTATTGTATAACTTTTTTTTAACTTTTTAATCAAAAATATTTTAGCATTAAAATGCAATTACTTCATACACGTATTTTCTGTTATTTATATTTATTAGTACCTGAAACATGAATTGAGCAGTCTTCGCCCTATTTCTACTCTCCCTTTTTTGTCCAATATTCTGGAACATGTTGTTGCGGATCAACTCAGAACTTATCTCTCTGACAATAACCTATTTGAGGAGTTCCAGTCTGGCTTTAAAGCACAACATTGTCAGGGTCAGCCCCTGTTGTCCTACCCTGTATCCCTTCCCCGATTGGCCAGCAGGTGTTGCTGGTCATCCCATTCTTTGTGTTAGTCTTTGTTCTCCCCTGTTATCTGTCTAGCCACATGGCTCAATGCATTGAGCATGTGGTTGTCTGTGAACCTTGTCCTGTGTTTGAATCCTGCCTCCTGTTTTTGTATGTTGCTCCTTAGTGTTTTTTAGTTATTGTATCTGGTGATTTTGTATTTGGTTTTGTTCCTTGTGCCCCTGCTTGTCTTTACCTGTTTGTAATTCCC